TTGAATTCATCAATGCTTATAAAAATCTTCTTTCAAATTTACTCAGCAGACCAAATGGACAAAGGCAAAAAACCCTTGAACAACCAGGAAAGGTGGAGAACAATTCATAAGAAACAAACTAAAAAAGTTTCTTCTTCTTTTTCTTTTTTTCCACTATCACCAATTCTTAAACCAAGAATTTTTATTCACACTCCTTGTGGTTATCTTCCTCGTCAGATACCACAAAGAGCCTTCTATTAACGTTCTGCACCACAACCAGTAATGCACAATCCCTATTCTCAAATTGCACAAGATCCAAATCAATGGATACCTATTTTATATTCTGAAATTATATCTTTAACAGAAAAACTTTTGAAAGATACACAAATGAAGGAAGTAGAAATAAAAAATTTTTATAATCCAGGTTTTCTAGTTGACATAGACAATATGCTCAACAATATTTGAAAACCCGTTTATCTCAAAATAAAGCTCAATTTAGAAAAAGGATGACCAAATTAACTAAATTCTTAGCTAAACAAGCTAAAGAAAAATAGCTCTTTGATCAATTGGTTTTTGAAAATCTTTTTTCTTCATATCTGCTAAAACAACAAGACATTGATTTATTTGCCATTGAAGAAAACCAATTTTCTATTCAAGAAATAAATAATTTCTTGAATCTTTGTGAATACTTTGAAGATAAACAATCTTAAAATTAATTCAGTTAAAAAGAATTCTTTTATTTGAAAAAGCTACAATATTTCTCCCAAAAGAAATATACCATAGAATATACTCTTCAATACTTCTCAAAATAGAAAAACTATTAAAAGAAAATTTTTTTGAATTTTATTTCTCCATCTATTTACAAACAATAGAAATAGGTGAACAAATTCCAAAATTAAAATTTTGACTTGATCATGAAACATTAGATATAAAAAGTATCGAATTAGGTATAATAGGTGAAATTGTTGTTCAAAACTTCTTTTTTCATCATCTCACCGATTTTCTTGCTTTATCAAGTCCAAATTTTCTAAGTTTGTAAAAAACAACAAACGTTTCTTTTATAGACATGTACAAATTCATAGCCTATTAGAAGCTTTCAAAGAGAAAAATTCTTTTAGCCATATCAAATATGGGAAGTTTCCAAATTAATGTCAGAACCAGAATTAGAACCACCAATGGATGCTTTTGAAAATTTTGAACAGTTAACTCAAGCTATTCAGAAGTTTGCAAATTTATCAAAATATCAATTTCACACCGAAATATTTATGATGAATATTGCAAAACATTTTTTTTCACTGGCAAAAACCCAGAGTTGTTATCGGACTCAGCAACCACTGATGGCCAAAGAATCTTTAGGTGAGACCGTAGCCTTTTTCTCTGTATGCCATCATTACTGCCATATATTACAGAAAAATAAATTTTTTGGATTCATGCTAAATACAATATATGATAACTTTGATCAAATCAGCGAGCACATGATCTTTCTTAAAGATCTTCTACCATTAGGAGATGCGAAGTAATTGTGAAAGATGCTCCATCCATTGAAATGCTTTTCTAGTATAAATTGCAACTTATATTACTTAACTCAAGTCTTTATTAAATAAACAATGTCTACTTTTAATCTTTTTATTCTATCTATTACTTCATTTTGCTTTTGAGGATCATTAAGTCTTTTAGTATTCCATATTAACCATTTCATGAGGAATGATAGTAAAATTGACTTCCAGAGGTTGTGAACCTTGCCTTTACTTGCTTCTTTCCCTTATCTTTAGGTCATTTCTTTTTATTCTCTAAGGCTTTCGTCAAATCAGCTACCCCCATAGCAGCAACTCTTTGCTTCCGAAGTGAAGGCAAAATTAAATCCTCTAATGCATTTCTAGGATCCAAATCAGTACAAGCGTATTCTATTATTGTATTTGACTCTTTAACAAATTTCGATATTATAAATTTATTTGTTGAGTCAGCTCTAGCAATTAGAGATGGCTGCACATCCAATTTCTCTTTCCTTTTATTGTCCCTTTGTCTTTGTTTTATTCTTTATCATTATTCTTGCTCACCTGAACATGTTCACCAACATTATCATTGCTTTTCTTTGGCACTCACACTTGACCTGCCTTTGGTTTATGTGTGCAAGTTTTATCATTATGCCCAAATGTGTAACAATGCATACACCTCTGAAACATCCACAGTATTTTAACTGACATAGACGTTAGTAGTCCATCCCTTCTTTGCACATTAATCAAAGATTCAAATAGCAGTCGGATAGCGGTGTAGCGATCGCTATTTCGCGATCGCGCCACTATCCGCCACCGCTATTGGAGAAAAAAAAGAGAGAATTTAAATTTCGTCTATGACAGATGAATTACGGTTGCGAATTACGATGTAACGGTGAATAACGACAATAACGGTCCGCTATTACCGCTATTCCTATTTTCATTCAAAAATTAAAAAAAAATTCATTTGATTCTGTTTAAAAACTTAAAATAAAAACAACAAGAAAGAAAATAAAACATCAATTTATAAATTCAAAAAAAAAAACCCAAAAACTTAAACTTTAAAAAATATCAATTCTCTCAAATTCAACTTCAATCATAATCAAGTATATGCAATTTAAGGTAAGCAATTAATTCAATACTCAATTTACTTTTTTTTTTAATTTCTAAATTTGTTATGATTTTGTATGTTTTGAATTATATTGGACTGTGATACAGTGGTAGAAAGAGGTAGGAGTTATTGAGACTTAAAATGAGAGACAAGAGATGAGAGTGAGATTTGAGGTTGACGGAAGCAAGCAGATAGCATACACCAAATAAAAAGAAAATTGAGAGATGATGATGAAGGTTTGGAGAAAAAAAAATTATTGAATGCAAGGTGAAGGATGAGAAGTTGTGTGGGTTTGTGTAATTTAGTCAAGAGGCAGAGGAAGTAGACTTGAAGCTATTATTGTTGAAAATTGCCCACAACATGGAGGCTGCCAAGTTTGGTTTATTGTAAGTTCATAAAAAAGCAATTCTCTTGACTCATAAATGATAATGCTCTTACTTAATTTATGAATGTCTAATTACTTATTATTTGATTTATACATAATATAGTTCGGTAATAATTTGATGAGTACGGTAATTAAATAATTTTTCACATGTTTATTTATCTCTTATTATTTTTTAATTATCATATAAATAATTTTTTAAATATGAATATTTTACTATAAATATTTTTTCTTAAATAAATAAAACACATGATATGATATAAATTACTTTAAAAATTATAAAATAAGAGGTTTTATGATTAATAATTAAAATTATTATATTTTATAGTAAGTTGAGCAAAATTTAAAAAAATTCACGATTACGATAGCCGTATTGACCGCGAAGATCTCCGTTATATTTGCAACCGTGACAAATGTGACGCGACCGAAAACATAACGATTACCGTAATTTAAATCCCTGACATCAATGAATCTTGAAACTTTCGAACTGGCCTTCATATCAACACAAATTTTTACGTAGGTCAATCTCTGCCTATTTGCTATGATCGAATCCATATACAGAGGATTACCCAATGCACTTGCTATGTAGCTCAGCCCTCTCTTCTAGTATAGTTCCAATGGCACATTGCCCAACTGCACCTAGATTGGAAACTTATCCATATTGAATTCCGAAGATTTTATTCTTGGTACCTATTTCTAGACAACCAGCGGCTTGTTTTATATGTGCCAAGGGCCATGTTCAATTACCCAATCTCCAGCTACTTCATTCGAGAACTGAATCACATACAAGTTACGTCTAGCAGGCTTAACCTCAATCGACCATTCTTCCCTCATAAAATGTTAACCATCTTTGAAAGAGATTGAAATTTGGCATTCTTCCGATGAATTGGGCAATGAAAGAACTCTATCGATTGTGAATCCCTTCCTTAAGTACTTCATCTAAAGGTTTCACTGTTATTCTACCCTCTACCTGTACTGGTGGAAAGTACTCCAATGTTTGATCAGTTGAAGCAGAGAAAAGCTGTCGCCAATCCATACCTTTTTCCTTTGGCATCAATTCTACCGTGGCAATTCCTGTTATGTTCCCGAACCTTACATCCAACTCCTCTCTTCACTAGACCAACTTGAGCATCAAGACTCTGAATTTCTTCCTACGATCTAAATCCCTTTTCATTGGCAATTAGATTTGAAATCATTCCTGTTGATGAGCTACCCAATCAGTTCATGACAATGTCATCAATTCAAACAAACAACAATGGATTTGTTTAAGAAAATCACAATACAACAAGAATTTAAAAACTCCCACAAAGAAACAATCATTTTTATGCAATTTTCATGAGAAAATGATGAAGAATCCAAGGAGATCGTGAAAATCCCTAGCCCAAGAAAGAACATGCTAACGTTGTAAATTTCAATTAACGTCTTTATCAATTTTAATTTAGTATATATGCTAGTATTTTCTTTATCCTTCCTATCATCATTCGGGCAGTTTCAGGTTATCCGTTAAGCACGAAAGTAGTACTCGGAATGATTAAAATAAAAAAAAAATGTAATTGGATACGGAAATGGGGAGTGATATTTATTTTTATTAAATTTAATAATTTAAAATATGATATTATAATACATAAAAATATAATAAAAAATATAAAATATAATATAATTTAAAATATTAATAATTATATATAAAATTAATAAAATTAAAAAATATATTTTATATTTATATAAATTATAATACATAAATTTTTATAAAATATTATATAAATACATAAATTTTAATCAGTTACAAAACAAAAATATATAAATCGTGATATCTACCCTAATCAGTACCAGCATAAGGAGGACATTTTGAGTAATTTCACTTCCCCCATTATTTCAAAACGGTAATAAAAAAACCAGAGACAGGCGTGTAAGAAAATGGGACCATAGCCCACAATTAAAGAAGAAAATAATAATACAACCGGAAAAAGGAAATAATGCCAGGCCCATTTGAAAATAAAATCCTTTCCATATAATTTCCCCACGTGCTACACCTCAACAAACTCACCACTACCCAATCAAACCAATCTTAAATGCCATCTCAGTGGGACTAATAGCGCGTGTCCAAAAAATCGCGTGGGGAAGTGAATGCATTTTTAGGGAAAAAAGGAATTTCTCTATTGCATTAAAACAGTATTGTTTTTCTTTCCTTTTCATTTTGATTTTCAAGTTTTCATTACATGAGTAAGATCTTCTTCACTTTGCTATCAGAATCCAAAACCAAAAACAAAAAAATAAATAAAATCAAAATAAAACAAAAGCATCTCCTTAGTATCGGCTACCGTAATCTCTCCAAGTATTTTTTTTTTTTTGTTCCTTCCTCTTTAAGTTCTTGAAAGCTCACATTTTGAACAAAGAACTGAAAGCTCTACCACAGAAAAATTTAAGGAAAAGTCTTTTACTTTGTTGGCAGGAACTGATTCTTCCAAGGTATCATCTTTCTTTCTTTGTCTTTTTTTCTTTTTTGTTCATGTTTATGTCTGGGTTTGCCTTTTTTTTTTTGGTTCTAAAACTCATTTTTTTAAGTCATAGTGTGTTTCAGTGTATTCTTCTACTGTTTCAAAGGTTTGGTCTTTTACAGATATATTTTTGAAATAATAAATTCTGGGTTTTGTTTTTTCTTCACTGGATTGTTTGATTATTTGAGTACTTTTTCTTTATTTTTTTTGTTTAATGGGAATTTTGGATCTTAATTGAGAACTTGATGTGAATAAAAGCATTATACTTTAGATCCAATTGATTGCAAAATGTGGTAGCTGAGATCAGAATAAATTATGCTCTTTGTTTTGTTTAGGTCGTGTGTTCATTTTGTGCCTTGGAATTTGGGTATATTTCAATTAAGATGTTACTGTCTTAATATTCTTGTTAACTGATTGAAATGATTTTGTAGCATATCATTTATTAGCTTAGACTTTAGACAAGTAATGGAGTTATTTTGATTTTGTTCAATTATTTTTTGTCTTCTTTTAATTGATATTGGAAGTGAATTACAAATGCTTAAACGTTATAGTTTGTAAGGGAAAAGAGTGAAAAGGAAATTAATCTTTTAATCTTTTTCCATGAAATGAGTGTCTTAGTTTTTTTTTTTTTTTTTTTTTGTGTTTGTATTGTTTTCTGGATTGAATGTTCATTTGACTAATAAGAAAAAAGGTTCTTTTAGTTTCAAGAGCACCAGAATTTGGATATAATGTCAAATGATGCTAGTTGCCAAAGGAGCTGGTTTTGGTCATTATCACTTTAATAGGCTGAAAAAGACAAGCAATACATGTCACATGCCTATAGGCTATAACCCACTAGTTTTCGGAACTGTAGGTTGGGATGTATGTGAGATAAAATCTAGTAGACATCAGAGAAAGTGACAGAGTCATTCGTATTTAGAAATTAGGTAATTATCCCGAAGGGGATAACGCAAGCATTTAGAATTTGAAATTTTAACCAAGAAGTCATGATGGAATCTTGGGGATGGAAGAGTGGGATTTATGTGACGGCAAATGGCTGTAGGTCAAGCCCAGTGGACTTTCATGTGTAATTCAAAAAAAAAAAAAAGAAAGAAAGAAATTAGGCAATTGATTAAGAATGAATCAAAGTACGCAAACTTTCACTTTAAAAGAATTTAGAGTAATTTGTGGAAATAATGTGTAATTTTGGATCATTTGCAACTCTATCAACATGCTAAATTAGAACAAATAGTAATGGATTTGCTTTTTAATGAAACAATTTTCTAGGTTCATTATGATGGTTAGAAACACGGAGAACCATACCTGCCATTACCCGAGAGTCAAGCTCCTACGTCTTCTATTACTATTGCTGCAATGATGTTTTAAATAAATTTCTTCCTTTGCAAGCTAGATGCTAATCTTATTCATCATTGTTATGCAGTGTTCAGGCTTTTCTATCTGATTTGCCATGTGGTAATGTATCTACTTGGTGCCTTATGAATCTTATGCCAATAACAATCTAATCATGGATAAGGTATCTACAGATTGTCCCTACCCAGGGTGCTTTTTCTGTGTCATGAAGGAAGGAAACCCTACTAAACGCAGAGCCAGTATTCTAAAGTTCTTTAGAGATCTTCCTTCACAAGATGATGATGGTCAAGTTCTTCCTATCAGTGGCCTTTGGAATACTGCCATGGCACATCCTAATGATCCTGAATTCATTGAGTTGGGGATTTTTGAATGCATGTCTGCACTAATATGGAAAGGTCTCAAGAATCGGCGCTGGCTTTCTCATGACCAAAATATATATATTCCTTATTATGCAGCACATATTATTGGATCCTACACCATGAATGTGGAAGAGTTCGCGGAAAGCGCTGTGCATGCTGGTGTAATTCCTCCTTTAGTTGAGCTTTTGAGAGGTAGGTTGACTTGGGTTGAACAAAGAGTGGCAGTGCGAGCTCTAGGACACTTGGCTACATATACGAGTACTTTTCCTGCTGTAGCAAGTCATGGAGAAATTCTTGAAGTCTCTATTCAGCTAGCAATGAGTTCACTGGAAATAGTTTACTCTCACTTTTACCAGTATGTTGATAGAAGGCTAAGTTATCACTGTGACCTGCTTACTCGTGGTATGGGTGGTGTTGAAATGGAGTCAAGGAAGGCTGAAGAATGGGCTAGTCAGCTGCAATGTTGGTCCCTTCAACTCATTAATTGCTTTGCTTTCAAGCCTGAGTTTCTTCCCAACATATGCAAACCTGAATTTCTTGCAAAACTACCAGGAATGTGGGGTGGACTTGTTAATGAAAACTCACCAGCTGGTATTGGTTTGTTAAGAACCATCTGTCATCATAAGCTTGGTAGGGGACCTGTTGCTAGCTGTCCTGGCATTATTGAAGCATTATGTAATATTGCTCGCTCATCTGATGATTGGCAATATATGGCTATTGATTGTCTTCTTTGGTTGCTTCAAGATCCAAGCACATCTCATAAGGTATATTCCTCTCATAACTGGGTGAGAAAATTTAATGTAAATTCCATACTGATGTAGAAGGCCTGAGACCTCTGTACTGCATTACTGCCACATTATTTACTGAGTCTCTCTTTGACAGTGCCCTTTATCCGTAACAGCTGATTCTATTCCTTCAATGGAATCTGAGCTAAATCATTGAGCATGCATGCTTCCCTAATTTAATTGGATTCCATATCACCTTTTCATCTTTTGGATGTTTATTTTGCGGAAAGTGAATTTGAACTCAATACCTCTTGAGGCAAGATATGGTTAATAGGATGATTTTTCCTATGCCAAATCCTCCTACCTATGAAAATCATCTTCACATTTACTCTTTTGCAGAATCACTGAATCAGTATCATCTAATAAGCACATGCAGCCATCTAGATTGCTTTTGACAAAACGTCATTGGAGAATGAAAAGAAACAAGTTGAATTCTGAAATATTTGGGAAATAGTCCTTTCTTTTTTTGTTATAGAACATGTCTTTAAGCTTGATCTAAATCTAGGTTGCTTTTGACAAAAATGTCATTGGAGAATGAAAAGTAATAAATGAATTCTGCAACATTTGGGAAATCCTCCTTCCTTTTTCTGTTATCGAACATATGTCTTTAAGCTTGATCTAAAGTGTCAGGGAAATGTAATACAGGGAAATAGTCCTTGTACGATCTTGCTTTACCTTGATTTCCCCTTTTCTGTGTCATGTCTCCTGCCAATGCAATCTAGGTAGTCAGAGTTATGCCCCCCATTTTTGGTGTTTGTAATGTCCTTTTTTATCAGAATAAAAGAATCCTGATTCCTGACAGATAATAAAGCATGCAAATTTATATTGAAATTACTTAAGCCAGTGAAGAAGCACCCATGTCATAGTTGACTTGATGAAATTTTCATTCATTCATGTATCATATATCTATTTTAATATCTAAAGTTAGAGCTCTACACTCAACATAAGCTGTCAGCTGAAGTCCAAGAAAAGGTTTTAATATGTTGATACTACAATCTTTGGTAGAGAGCCTTATCTCAATAAGAAATTTTGCCATGTAATTCTTTGCCTTTTGTTTTGGAAGCTATGGTATTCTCTGTAGAACTCATCTTCGTTTATTATACAGGTGATAGATAAGGCAGTACCTGCCCTTGTAGACCTTGCAGAGATTACAACTCTGGGTGATCACAAAAAGCTTGGAGATTCCATTGTTAATGTTCTTCAGGAATGTACTCAATCACAAGGGATGGGACGCAGCTCTCTCAGTAACCGCTCAAAAGAACTGATTGAAGAACTATCGAGTTCCAGGCAGAGATTGAAGTGGGAAAAGAATATGCCAAAGGAGGATCTCCATATTAAACAGGCTGCTGCTTTAGTGGTCAAGCTTGAAGGAAACTCTCTTTTCTCATCAGGAAATATATCTGGAGCTGCATCAAAGTATTCAGAAGCATTATCATTGTGTCCAATGAGATCCAAGAAAGAGAGAGTTGTTCTCTACAGTAATCGAGCTCAGTGTCATCTTCTATTGCAGCAACCCTTGGCTGCCATAAGTGATGCTACACGTGCATTATGTATTCACAACCCACTGAACCGTCATGCCAAAAGCCTATGGAGAAGAGCTCAGGCTTATGACATGCTTGGTTTAGCTAAAGAGAGCTTGCTAGATGCCATTCTCTTCATAAATGAATGCTCTCAGTCAAATGACCCTGATCTCTCATCGAGGCAAAATAAGGTTCCTGACTATGCTGAACGATTAGTCAAGAAGCAAATGCGTGCAGCTTGGTTATTTAGAGAGGCAGCTATCAAACATGGGGGTGTGCACTGTGAGGGTGATGCAGGTGATATGTATGGCCAGGATACTGATGACTCTGAATGGGAGACAGCGAGTGAAAGCGATATAGGAAATGATGGAAGGGATGAAATGGGTGAGGAGGATGACGATGATAACGAATGGAAGAATGAAGATGATAGGAAAAATAAATATGAAAAACCCTCAATGAAAGGTAAAATTTAACATTTTAATATTGTATTAACTTTTATTGCATTTTGACATGTTTGGATGTTCTTGCATATGCTACCAATTAAACAGTAAAAAGTAATAAAATAATGATAGTAAAAGAAAGGAGAAATCTGTTTTTTATTCCTTTTCTGATTGCTGAATAGAAAGGAAGGTGGAAGGGGGCTGTTCACTAAAGAGCAAAATGATATCGACACCAGGTTGAATTTGACTGATGTGATTCAATTTTGGTTTAGATTGCATTCTTTTAGGTTATTTAACAGTTATCTTGCAGATGTTGGGACATCCCACATAGGAGCCATACCTACCTTTAGAAAAGGAGGTTGCAAGTTTGAATCTCCTGCTAATACGTCTCTATTTCCTCTATTCTATATTCCTATTGCTAGTCAAACAAGCCAATTTGACCCAAGCTTGAGCTTGAGCTTGATAATTCCTACATCAGCTAAAGTCAAGCTTGCTTTTTTTTTTTTTATTTTATAAATTATCCAAAAAAGAAACAAATAAGCTTGCCTTTTTTAAGCTCATATAAAACTTAATCTTGGCTTGAGGCCTTCAGCTCCATCATGATGAGCCATGCTGTTAGGCTTGCTCTTCTGTATTCGCTAGTTTTGTCATGTTTATTAACTCGTCAAAAGTTTTTTAACCTTTTTCCTTCAATCTAATCCATCCTTCTTAGTTCTTCCCATATGGAGACAATCTTTTTGTTCCTTAGTTATGTTAACGACATGTGGTCGTTAGTTACTTTAGAGAGAAAAGGGGAATTGTATATGATAAAAAGTAATAAGTAAAAATAAAGTCCATTTGTTAAATTGCCATTTTCATGGGAGTGCTTCTTCCATCCTAGTTGCTTCATTCGACTCATACAATATATCTAATGGTTGTGAGCGGACAACATTTCACCTCTACTGGATTTGCTATGACTTTTTACTATCGTCCAACCATTACTGAGGCTTTTGCTTATTTTCAATACATGTGAGTGAATGTGTTGGTTGCAGGTCTTTGTATAGGTCTGGACTGCCTACCCTGCCTTCACCCATGACCTCAACTTTTCACCTAGAGTTTTGCTAAACCAGCTTTGACAGAATTGTTTCATCATTTATTATTTTTATGTTTGCATGTACAAGGGTATGGGATATTTGATGTTCTCAGCCGTGTGCTGCGGACATGAATGCAAGTGTTGGAGTGTTGACATGTACATATGACATCTGACTGGACATGTCAACGGTCAATAAATAAGGGCACCTATAGATAAGTATGTTTCAGTATTATTGTGCATATTTTATGTAAATAATGGTTGACGAACCTATCTAAATTTCGTTATTTGCCTTCTGTTATATTTTACAAAGGTCAGTTGATAATTCTATTATGCTAAAATTTAGTATCATCCTTACACATGAATTAAATAGACTTCTAGTCTAGAATTCATAGTCTGGCATAAGTGAAAAACAATAAAAACTATAGTCAAAGACTGAGACTTTGGTATTCTTCTCTTATTTGTTATATTTTCTTGTCTTCGCCGAATATACTTGACCTATATAAGGTCTAACAAGGCACATGCCTGCTTGTTGATCTTTTAACTTTCATATTTATGTGATCCTTTTTTTTTCCTTGGTAAAAGTCAGACTTTACTACCATGTTCAATATTAATCCACCCTTGCAGGCAAAAGGAAAAGAAAGAAAACACGAATTAATATATAGTGCTTGCAAATTCAGCCCTACCATCCCATGTCTTCCCAATCATGGGTTGAGGGTGCAGAAGAGTTGTAGTCTGCAATCAACCTACCACATATCGGCTACTTTAAGGCACCAGTAAACTGTGACAAACAAGCAATATTTTTTGTCTTTGTCAACTTTTTGGGTTTGAGGGGTTGAAAGATGTCCACTATCGAATAATTCATCTCAGGAGTGTTATATGTTTATTTTTTAGGAGATTATGATGTTTTAAATCTTGTCACCTTGAGCTATGATGAGTAGTTTGCATCTATGATGAGTAGTTTGCATCATTCTCGCGCTTGATTAGTTTGCTAGCCATTTGTTGTTTTTGGCCTTTAACAATGCATTGTTTCCTTGACTTTCACAGATATAAAGCACGGGTTTAATGTGCAGCTCACAGAAGATGAACCGTAAGTGTTTGAAGGACAAACAGCATAGATATTGACCAGTAGTGAACAAAAGCTACTATGATTTGGCATTTGTTATTTCATGTTCCAGAGCTATAGCCTAGTTGCATTTAAAGTTGGTCTTATGTCTGGCTCAGTGAAGAAGCAACTTGGAAGGGAAGCTTTTCTTTGGTCATTGCTAGAGGTAAAACTTGTTTTACAAACATTTCTTATATGTTTTATGTTTTTCTGTTCTCCTGATTTGTTCTTGTTAATTTCAACTGTAGAAATTGACAGAGATTTTGAGTGTAGGGAACCATTTTGTCTGGAGGGTGTGAAGCTTTGTGAGTGATCTTAAGATCTTTGTGTATATAAAACCCTAAAAGGTTTTTGACACTGAACTATCATATTTGAATGATAATTGTGATATCTTATGATGGTTCGAATTTTTTCTTGTGCGAGGAAATATTGGATGTTCATGCTAGCTAAAAGGATTATAAAAAGGGTACACCACTTTTGTATGACACGTCAGCACAGTTGCAACGGTCCATGTAAGCCCCAATGTTAGGAGAAATTATTATATAATCTTTTTTTACCTGAATTAATCAGACACAACCAGACCAACAGTTATGTTGTCTATTAGTAAAATGTTAAAAACTTTTAATTTCAATGATCATAGGCTCCAATCTTCGAAACCTCAAATATATATATAAATCAGACAACGATAATGAATATTTGTTCATTTGACAACTTTTAATTATGTGTTGCACCTTGATTTGTCGAGTTTATGATTAACATGGTAGGAAGAGCTTATATAAACTTACTGGATTTGTGGAGCAATCATTCGGAGACATGCACGTGGAGCCAACCATGTCATTTGTTCAGGTTCATCTGCGAAATTAATTCCCATTCTCATGGGTTATTTTAGTAAAGAAACCTGTCACGTACACAATTAATATGATTTAATTTAATTGATTTATACAATTATTATCAAAAAATAATATCTAATTATTTTTAAATTTTATAAATAAATTTAAGAGATTATCACATACTTAACTATAATACGCCGTAGATCATTCACAAGGGTTCAATGAAATTTATCTCCAAACACGATTTAGTGTTGTGAAAATCCTTTCCCTACTGTAACTAGTCACCGTGCAGTCTTATAAATAAGATTATAAACCTTTATTTTATGAAATGTAATATTGTAATCTTATATCTTATAATTAAGTAAAAGACAAAAAATCAAACAAACCTATGAATAAAAATTTAATAATCATTCAAGCTTTTGTCATTTTGTTGTAATCAATTAAATTCTTAAATACTTATTTTCATCAATTAAATCATTTTTAAATGAATTTATTAACAGTCAACATTCATTTTTATTAAATTAAGTACTTAATTAAGATAAAAATAAATGTTTAATAGTTAATTAGATAAAAATAAATATTTAAAAATTTAACTGATTTGAAATTAAAAATTTAAATCTTAATTAATTGCAAAAAATAAAAAACTTAAATAATTGTAAAAATTTGTTCGAAATGTTTTTTTAACCTTTTGTCAGAAAAATAAAGGTTCTTATATCTTACTGTGGTTTTAATTTGAAAGGTTTGAAAATGAATTTAGCTTAGGAAAGTACATTAGACTTTATTAAGTTAGCAAGTACAAAAACGTGGAGAGCGTTGCTTTTGTTTCTTTCCTGCTAAAATTTAAAATATGGAAGCTTTAATTAAGAGTCTAAATTCCAAGCTTAGGAGTCTGTCATATAGGAGTAAGGACCATTTTTGGGAACCAATTCCATTTTTTTTTTGTTTTCCTGAAATTGATACTATACTAGGATTATTATCTCCCAACTGCCTAATTTCGCTTTTAATTGAAGATGGGAACGTCTAACAAAAATTTTCAACTGCCTCCCAAGCGAAAACAAAAACAATTCCATTCCCAAAGCCTCCCAAGCAACCCAAACAACTGCTATCCCTGTTGACCCATTGGTTATCGCGCTTGTTTCCGCCCAACTTGGTGCCGTGAAACTCTTTTCTTTTCAGGATATATATATATTTTTTTTATAAAAAAAGAAATACTCTGTAATTTGAGATAAAGTAAAAGATTCTTTGGGATAGATTTGAACCGAAACGTTATTAAATATCATACTTTAACAATATTTTTATAAATTAATTAAATTGTTAACAAAAAATTTTGTTATTTTCTTTTTTTATTTATATAAATAATAAAAAAATTATTCGTATTAAATTCACGACTTGATTTTTTGTGTTTTTTTTAAATTTTTTTTGTTTTTTTTATTTTTCATGTATTTTATTAATTTAAATATCGAAATACATTTTAAAATCATTTTTGATACTATTAAATTTTTTTTTGTGATAGATCAAGATCTTCAATTGTCGTATCAAACATTACATTAATAAAAATAAAATTATTATTAATTTAATAATGAAATTGTAAAATAAAAAATAAGTTTTTTTTTTTTTCATATTCCCGTAATTAAAACTTTAATAGAGTTTTCCTACTTTGTTATTATATTTATTGACAGTAAAAAAAATATGTTTACTTTAAGATTCCATTTGATTTGAAAACAAAAATAAAAAAAAATTATAATAACACCAAAAAATAACCAAAATAATGAATAGTTTTATTTATTTGAAAATATAGTAATTTTCTTTTAAAAATTAAGAACCAAAACAATTTCCATTTTAGGTTTCTCTTCGCTGTTATCAACAAACTAAACCTTAAAAATGAAAAAAAAATTACTGCATGTTTGGCATAGGGGGCATGGCATGGGAAAGTAAAATATTACCTATTTTTATATCGAAAATTTTATATTATATTTATTTTTATATTTATATTTAATGAATATTTTAAATCATCATCGTATTTATCTTTATAATTATTTAATAGATATAAATAGTCTCATAATTTTTTTAAAAAAGTAAAATCCAAAATTTATATTTTATCTTATAAATTTAGATAATTTTTTTATAAATATATATTAATATATATTTTAAATAAAATTAATTAATTTAAAATAATAATTTATATTATTTAATAAAATATATTTATTAAATATATATAATATAGGTATGAAATAAATGTGTTATTATTCATTTTTATCTTTATATTTAATAAAAATTTAAAATTATTCACATTTTCATCTTCATTTTTATAATATAATATTTATTTTTATCTTTTTCTTCATTTAAATATAAAAATTAAAATTTTCATTAAATATAAATAAAATTAACATCAGACATGCTAGACCCAATTGCCCTCAATCGTATGCCAAACATACTTCTACAATAAAAGAAGGTAACAATTGAAGCTCGAAAGGAAGAAAATGTGAGGACATCATTTCAACATTTTGGTCAAATCCAACGTTGATATGATGGATCCATGCCATAATTGTAAAGATACGACAATGACTTTTATCTGATCATTTAATTTAATTATTGATGCATATTTTAAAAAAAATTAAAATTAAATATCTTATCCTCAATTTAAAAAATATGCATTGTTGCTTTACGTCATTTTTTGAAAAATAACGTGCAGTTGTGTACTTCAGTGCATTGGCCCTCATAAAATTTAATTTTATATTTGATTATGTCTTTTCAAATTATTATATTTAATTAAAGAGGTTAGTGGTTGACTATAAATAAATAAAATGGCCCCCACCAAAATTCATGCTATAATGTATGGCCAGCTCTGCAATTTTTGGTGACCGCTACGTTGAAATTTTGGGTGAATTAAAAAATATTTCTAGTTACTTCCAAAAACATTGAAAAAAAAAAAAAAGAGATGACAACGATGACGAAAAATGTGAAAAATGTATTTTTATAAAATTATAAATATAAGTAGAAATTGTAATAAAATTGAGTTTTATCAAATTTTTATTTAAATTTAAATTAAAAGATTGTCAATAAATATAATAATATGTGTATTTTCTGTATTATATTTATTTTATATTATATATAAAATATAAAAATTTTTATATTATAATTTATATTAATATGTTAAATATAAAATATATATTTTTATTTTTATCAGGTCTAATTTTTATTAATTTTGAATTATATTATTAATTTTTTATTATTTTTATATTATATTTAAAATTATTAATTTTAATTGTCACGTGAAAGTCATTCTTAACGAAGGAAAATTTGTATTTGTTTTTTAAATAAATAAAAATAAAAAAGTTGAATTTTAATTTTTTATAAAATAAAACGTCAGAAATTTTTTAATAAAGATGGGATCTAAAATGAGCACTCAGCTGTTTCGTCAAACTATGGATTAAAAAGAAAAATGAGGATCGAATACCAAAAAAAAAAAATAAAGGACCTGTGTTTTTTCTCTATTCAGAACAAAATTTTGAATATAAAAAAAAAACCTATAAATAAGCTCCGGCAACAGCTTATCATCGAATCTATCAACTGTTAGGCTTTTTTCTCTCTTGCTTAAATTTAAGGACAAAGCTGCTCTTCTCTTTGTTCTCTACCCTTTGAATTATGTTCATAAGGTTCGTCTTCGATTTAGCAACCCTAAAAAAATAATTAAAAAATCTTGGGTTTGAATTTTGGGTTCAATTGTTAAAGAGCTCCGGCTATTTTTATTATTTGTATCTAAATAAAAAAAAAGGCGGACCAAATTTTAGTTCCAGAGAATAATTGAGAGAGAGAGAGAGAGAGAGAGAGAGAGAGAGAGAAGTTACAGACATTAATGCGGTTTCTATTGTTTTGATGGTGCCGCTTTGAGAACTTTCTGCTGCAGTCAGGTACGTTAAAAAGCCACTCTCTAGTTTGATGATTTTGCTTTCAGCTTTAGTTTTCATTATTTTTTTTGTTTGAATTTTCTGGATTTGATTAGTTTTAGCTAAAGTGTTGATGGAACGATTTTATGATGATTATTTTTGTAGGAAATTTTTTGCAACAATAAGAAAAAGACTGCGTTACTTTCTTCTTCTTTTTTTTCCCCTTCATTTTAAGTTATTTGATCAAATTATGGAAAGTTTGGTACACGGAAAATTGAATTGAAGTGGAGTTCTAAAAAATTAGGTCGAGTGTTTAAGTTGTAAAAATTTAATCCCATGGTAAGAATTTAGCTTTTCTTGGTTATTTTTGAAGGTTTGAGCGGAAAATGTGATAGAGGAAAGGAATTAATGAATTATAGCTCTGCGACGACTTTTGCGTGTATAGATTGGAAAGAGTCTAGTTACAGTTATTGTTAAATTGAACAACTTTGATTGGCCTTATGTTGTCAGAATGTGATTTTTGTTGTTAGAAATGGTAAATTTTTATGTGGTATTTGTGTTTAAGACCAGTTTATTTGGCTTGTCGCAGAGGGTTGGATGCCCCCCTAAGCTCTAGTGTGGCAACTAGTGTTATAACTTGAAGTTGGTAGCATGTTGGGCGGTAGGCACAAGATTAATTTAACAACTCTTTAATAAAAGGGATTGTTATTAGTTTTCTTGTCAAGAAAGCAGATGGTGTTGCTCAAAATCAATTTTTTACATTTTTCAAATGAAAAGTATACATTTTTTTCTTATATTCAAGCAGTGGAGTTTGCAATAGATTAAAAAGGGTTAAAACTAAACCAATTTCAGTCAGTTTATTTATGACACTCCATATGCCTCTGTGTGCCCTTTTTGGGTCTTCATCTGTACAGGTGTGTCAACTTGTATAAGCATTCTATACTTGCACAACACTTTAGCTGCACATCTTTACTTCAACAATTTGCTTAGCTTTTTT